AAGACTCGGCTCTAAACTCGACCAAACAACATAAGGGAGTTTACACAAATCCATCTAAGGATTGACCAAGTCAACTCACATCAAAAACGAAAAGCAAGTTGATTCCCAAAATTTCATATAAAAATCATGTTCGGAAATAGAAATCATTTAATCGCATGAAAATAGATGGTCAAGCTACCCTACAAGTTAAGCTCTGAAAATTTACACAAAATTTCATCTCCCAGAAACATGTAAAACCACAAAGTTTCAGCTTTAAACTCGAAATACCCTATTTTATAAAATTCGAACAAGATATCAGCAAAATGGGCACATTAATTCATACTCAGACTTAATGAATGAATCTGAACTTGAAAATTTTACACAGCAACATACAGTATGCTAAAGTTCATGTATAAAAATCTCAGCCTTAAATGATAATTGCTGCTATTTTTAAAAATTCATACAAGCAACAGCCGTTTATCGAATTTAAATCCAAACTGAATTAAAACGGACTCCAAAAATTCCCATCATTTACAAACATTATCAAAGACATAAAATAGGCCTCTCAGTAAAATTTCAAAATTTTTCATGCAGTAACCAATTTATAAAAATTCAAACAACGTTTCTGCAGATTCGATAATGTAAATATTTACCACATCAAATATCAACTCAAAAAATTCTAAAACTTTAACACAACATATATAAGTCACAGAGGCATGACATATTCGAATTTCAGCTCATTTCAGTCAGGCATGAAAGTTTTATGCATTTAACATTATTCTGGACAGATTACAATTTAATTATTAAAAATAGCTACAGGCCTTCAAAAATTACGAAATTTTTACACAAGGCAGGCAATGAGCAGATAACACATCCCTCAAAATTTTACATCGTTTCGAGCGGCGAGCTATTTTTAAAAATTCGAACACCGAAACAGCAATTTACAAACTCGACAACTTGGCAATTAAATCACAACATAAAATTTCTCGTCCGAGGCCTTTTCATAAGACCAAGGACTCGACATTGTTCCATTATCCACTGACTTACACGACTTTTGAGGTCTCGTTCGATTTTTGAGAAAATCGAAGAGATCCCGAACATACGAACACAAAAAGAAATCATCACAATGTATAGTCGCACAAATTCACATCAATAATCAACGAGCACTATACTAAAACATTCAACGAAATAAAACATATACGAATAAAACGAGACGGAAAAACGACGAGGTACCGTTCTCGGGAATAACTCGAAAACGTCACGAACACGAACGGCTCGACGGTAAACTCGTCTCGCCGGAAAAAAAGGGCTCGTCGCACGGGGAGGAGAGAGGTCGCTGCTGCTGGTTCACGAGCTCGTCGGGATGGTCACCGGACGTCGCTGCTCGGAGAATTATCGAGCTCGCCGGAAAAACCACAAACAGCGATCGGAGAAGACAGCTTCACGGCGCGGCGGGAAGAGGGTCGCGGCGCGGCGGGACTCTGGTCGCGGCGGGACTCTGGTCGCGGCGTGGTAGTGCGACACGGCGTGGAGGAGGCTTTAGTCGCGGCGCGGCGAGTTTCTGAACACAGAGGTGATGGCGGCGACGGGAGGCGACAGTGATGATGACCGGACGATGATGAAGGGATGAAGGAAAGAGAACAAGGGTGGTGATGGATTCACGAGGAGGATGATGACGAAGGATCACAAAGATGATGGACGGCGAAGTGCAGAGAGAGAGAGAGAGAGAGAGAGAGAGAGATTGACAAACAGCGGGCGTGAGGGAGAGGAAAGAAAAGCTGCGCACAATTAGAACTAGGTTTTTGATTATCTTGCCTCTTAAGAAAAAAAATATACTCACGCTCACAAAGAGAGAAACAGGTTTGGGCCATTGGGTCGGTTTTCATGAGCTTTGGGCCGGTTTTTGGCTCGCGGGCCGGTCGATCGGGCTGGTTCGCGACAATGAAAACGGCTCACGGGCTCAAGTTCGATTCACGCGGGTATTTTCGGGCTCGATAAAATCGCACGTTAATATATATATTCGGCTCTCGGGCTCGGGTTCTCCGATTTATTTTGCCAAAATAAAATGACTCGATCCGCGCGAATATTCTCGGGCTCGGTATAAAATCAAACGCACGATAAATCGAACAACAAATATATTTATCTGTATATATTAATACATATTTTACACATTTATAAAATAATAACAAATAAATCATTTAGACAATTAGACAATTAGACATATAATATTTAGACATTCAATTTGGCAAGCAATAATTAATATTATGACAATACTACTACTACTAATAATAATAATAATAATAATAATAATAATAATAATAATAATAATAATAATAATAATAGCTCAAATAAATCACAAATAAATGGGGCATTACAATATCTAATGTCCCGCCCAATCTCGGGCCTATTGTTGTTCACTGCAGGTTTGCCTTTTGATTGTGAGTTAAAGTAATCATAGAAAGTAATATTTATAGTCTAACCTTTTTTTCTTTCACAACGCTGGTATTGGTAGGACTGGAACATATTGCGTTATCCACAATAAAATCCAGAGGGTTCTTATGGGTGACATGACTGCTTTGGACCTTGTTAATACCATAACCACTTTTAGGTCACAGCGTATTGGAATGGTGCAAACTATCGTACTGTATTCTTGATATTTCATAATTCTTAAACTACTTATTCTTTCTTTTTTATATAGGGCTGCTATATTATAAATTCTTGGTGATTTAATTTAAATCTCTGTCAATATTATATTTTGTCTGCATTCACTACTTAAGGTACGTTTTGAAAATCGTTTAACATTTGACTGTATCTGCACATTGTATCTTGCAGGAGCAGTACTTGTTCTGCTATGATGCAATTATCGATGAACTCGAAGACCTCACTACAAATGGCGAGACTCAGGGCAGTTTATGAGGATATTATTCTCCATTTGTATTATTAGTATACAGGAATGTAATTCATTCAAGTCTCCTCTTTACTAGAATTTGGAGAAAAGGCATTCTCTGGTTCAATCACGATTCTCTAGGACTAATAACAAGCCGTGACAGCTAAGAGTAATGATATTTTCGGATTTATGATTGATGCTCAAATTGTGTAAATTGATGAAAGTTCTCTTAAAAAATTGGAATCTTTTGATGGCGATGTTTGTCGATGTTCATGCCTTGATGCTGAACTCGAAATTGTTGATCGTGTTTTTACCATTGTATTTACATCATGTAGTGTTCCTGAATGCTAGTACCTTCAGGATGTTCACATACTATAATGCGCTCACAAATTTTACTTATCTAAAGTTGCGGTGAAATCAGTGGCCGGCTGTAACTAAAAGTTTCAATTTTTGAAAACTCAACGAAGAAAGAAAAAAATGAGAATTCGCACAACGGTCTACTGCTTCTTTTGTGGTTGATGCAAATACAAACACCTTCGCTATGAAATTTTCTGCCTACTCAGTGAAATGTTTATGGCAAAAAATACTCTTTATAATTTATATATATTAACCAGGCCAGATTTGGAATCAATCAAACCATTATGAGAAGAACAGTACAACACCAAGAATAATTGTAGGAATCATCTTGTCAGATGGAGTAATTTACTGCCTAATGTAACCTTAGTTCTCCTCACTCCTTTTTCTTCATATGATAAAACACAAATAACATAACTAAAGAAATAGAAGCACAAGGCCAAAATATAATTCATCCAAAAATAGACTCTCATCATGAAAAATCCCCTCGTGCAGAAGGCACATACCCTGCTCACTCCTCTTTACTATGAGCTGTTCTTGCACGATGCCTGAGCTCAGCCCTTTTCCATCGTACAATCAGATAACACAGTGAAAACAAAGTGTTCACCTATAGACAAAACAAAAGTGCCAATGAGGAGAGCAAACAATCAATTAATTAATAAATAGAAAAAAAAAACACATAAAAGAAAGGCCAATCACTAATAAGGATTAGAATCGCGATCACCAATAGCGGCCCAGACCATAGTACAGAGAGAAATAACCCGTTAGAGTCGAAATAGTTCTGGCCTGCAAAGCTTCTCCAGTTTCCTGCAAAGCTTCTCCAGTTTCCGGCCAAGAACTGATTAAGCAACTTGGCAAAATACACTCCTCCAACTGCACCATTAATTAAGATTGATTCATGCAATAAAAGTGCAAACTTACATACGTTTTTACCCTTTGTTTCATAAAAACAAAAAATTGCTAAGTCTTTACAATCTATGGCATTTCAAAGTTGAATAGAACAAAAATGCTACACTTGAATAGAATGGACATAACTATAAGAACAAAAAAGAATATAAAAAGAGATGTCCCATTAGCAACTTCACATAACAACCATAATAATAAATATATCTTAAACCGACAAAGGAAAATTAACAACAGTAACATTGCATCAGCCTCTTAAATCTCACATTAAGATTCAGATAATGTAAATATTGAAAGTAAAAAATGCTGCTATACTCAAGACACATTTGAACTTACACTACTCCATGTAGTAGAATATCCATCAGTAAGAGCAACCAATCACCCCCCTTGGATTGCGATCTAGCCTGTTATTTGATAAATCAAAATCACACAACTCATCTTCATAGTTTCCAGCATGATCAGACTTTATTTTTTCTTTTATTCTTATGTCTTTTACGCTTCTTGCATTTTCGATTAACTGAAGACTTTCCATCATAATCTGATCCACAATCATTTGAAAACTCATCATCATTTACCAAAGCATACTTGTCCGACTTGCGGAAATTTATTTTATTGTTGATAAACAGACTCCCAGGAATAAGGGGTACGAAGTTCCTCAAAAGATTAATTTTTTAATCAACATTTACCATGATTCAGAAGATAAGAAGCAACCTGAAATTGATCCACACAAACACAATAAATGTCCAAAAACTCCAAAGACACGTTTGCACAACCATACGAAGCATAAAGCATAAGCAAATCTCCAAACTTCAAAAGGAATCAACACACAAGATTAGCTTTTGCAATTTTAGCCATACGTAAAGAATCAACAAAAATGCTAGCACAACACGCTCGATACAAATACATACTGAAATCAAACTCAGTACGATATTAACGAATATTAATGGTTGAGAAAATTCACTGGCCATTTTTGCTGGTGGACGATGGAGTACACTGCGACTCTCATTTTCGCCTGTCAAAGTGTCAAAGTGCCTGTAAACTCCTCCATAGTTTTACCCTGGAAAATATTTAAAGCAAACACACAAATCAAAAGAGTTTTTTGCTGAAGTGATTCAATAAAGCCTGTTAAAAGGAAAAACCACCAAACCCTAGCCGAAGCAAAGCAGCCGCCAACAATCTCCACTTCGTGCTAGGCTACTCTCTGTTGTCAGGGTGCCGCATATCTAGGACTTGACCTCCATCAATCCAAGCCGCCGTCGTCACACGGTGTAGACCGACCGCCGCCATCGGCCAGAAGCCGCTGGAAGAACGAGGGTTCACGGTGGCGGATATCGGAGCACGCGAGGTTGAAAGCAGGGGAATCACACCAAAGTTATGATATTCTGCGCTTTGGGGAATTCGCTAAGAAATTGAAGAACAAATTGGAACAAGAACAACAATCTAATTCGTAAATTAAATATGTTGATGAGGTTGTGATGATATATTTTTATATTTGAAGGATTGTTATACAAATAGTATAAATGTAAGGTTTTTAAAATAAATTCTAATTATCATTTTATAAGTTATCCACCCTCTCCCACAGTGGTTCGACCGTTGCGAGTTGCGAGCCTCTTACCCACCGCCGTTCAGCCGCGGTTATCCACCCTCAGCTGCCGCCGTCCGAGCCCCAGTGGACAGCAGTTGCGACAGTGGTTCGACCGTTGCGAGCCTCTTACCGCCGTTCAGCCGCGGTTATCCACCCTCAGCTGCCGCCGTCCGAGCCCCAGTGGACAGCAGTTGCGAGCCCCGGTTCATGATCGTTTAGCCGCCTCGAACCGACGTGCCTAGACTGTCGAAGACAGCCTCAACTAAATGCACCAGCAAGTCGCCGTGTGTTGTAGAGTGTCAGAACTTTCGTACAGCCCCTTTCATCCTACCGTCCTCGCATGTAAAGGTGAATTTCGAGTTTAGGATCTGAAAAGGGCTCTACGAGAGCTCGACAGTCTGCAACACACAGTAGGATCTAGGCGGATCTAAGCGCATTTTAGTTGAGGCTGTCGGGGCGCAGCTGTCTCCGACAGTCTAGACTGTTCACGGTTCGAGGCATCTAAACAATCACGAACCGGGTCCGCCAACTGCTGCCCACTGGGGCTCGGACGGCGGCGTCTGAGGGTGGATAACCGCGGTAAGAAGTTCGCAAAAGTGGTTCGCTGCTGTGGGAGAGCGCAGTGGTTCGCTGCTGTGGGAGAGCGTACGGAGATCTGCTCAGGGATATTCTCGCCCACGGTGGATCTCAGCCGTTGGTGAACGGACTGAGGCCTGGCGGGGCTTGTGGGCTCGCGAGTTGGTGCCGGCGAAAGGAGGTGGCTACTCGACCGGTTGCTCGCTCGTGTCGGCGTCAGGCCGCGCGTCTCCGACAAATCTCGGCGCGTTGCTGTGGCGGGGCGCTTCACGGTGGATGCTAGTCGAAAGAGAGGAGGGCAACACTGGTACTGCAATTCGTCTGATGCGTGCGACGGGCGGACATCGGCGGTAGGAAGGCTTCTCGCGGTGGTGGACGGACGTCAGCGGCCTTCTCGCGGCGGCGTGCTCCTCCTCGGCTGGGCCGTTCGACTGCGCGCGATGGGCCGTTGCGAGACGCCGGCGGTTGCTGATGGATGGCAGCGGCTAAGGGTTCGCCGGCGAGGAGGGATTTTCGGGAGAAAATCGAGGGAGGGGAGGCGATTTTTCGATCTGATTTTGGCCTAAGGAGATCGAATTTTGGGAGACCAATTTGGGCTGGAAACGCGTCAAATGAGAAGAGAAAAGAAAGGATTTGTACGGGTTTTGGGGGATTTAATGGGCCAAAACTCTTTAAGCTTATTGGGCAGAAAATGCAAATGCAGAATAAAGTGGGCCGGTTTTACATGGTTTAACTCTTGGATTTGGGCCAATAAATTGCAACACTTAAACCGAAATCTACAATTAAACTGGGCCGGATAATTAACAAAAATGGGCCGAGTATCAAACTCCAAACTCGCTCAGAAAACGGCTCGAAAAATACGACGCGCTGGATCCCGAACGATTTCGATTGATGAACACGATAAAATTGAAAATAATTTAAGTAAATGAAAGCGTCTACCTAAATTATTCGATCTATTAGATTATAAAGACGAGGACATCTAATAGGTTTTAAACGACCGATTCGACGAGCAATAAAGATAAAATACGGGCAATGCACATAAGTAAAGAAAAAACAAGCAATGCACATAACACCCAAATAAAAGCAAGCACAAATAGATAATTAAACAGTGATAATAAAATGAATACATGCCATCAATCGAATAAAAGAAGGCAAATAAATAAGCAAAAGCGAGCCAATAAAAATACTAAAAATTCAAGAGAAGCGAACGGGGCACCATCAGCCAAGAAACTCTGCAAGCTCCTAAAACAAAATGGAATGACAATACTATGTACAAATATATATGAGAACGACTTACCAATGTTAGCTATTCTGGAAAAGCCAAGCACACATGTGAGTTTAAAAGGAAACAAAATTTGGCTCCGTGGAAAAAGAGACAAGATTTCACATTGGACTTAAATTGAAAGCATTAAGCATAACAGAGGGAAAAACAAGATATATCAGATGTTATATTGGACTTGAGAAAATAAAAGCATCACAGAGAAAAAAACGATACTCAGATGTTTTACCCGCATAAACAATTATGCATGAGTGAAGCTTGAAAACAGTAACTTTCCTCATTAAGCTCTTTAGAAATTAAAATACACGAAATGAAAGGACGAGTTATAACATTGAGAATTTTAACACCTCATGGACAACGATATCTATATAGGCAAAAGTAATACAAAATAACAACAAATCCAACACCAATTACCTTTCAAATATTGTTGATATGTTTTCAAACCAATATATGAAGAGATCTTTCTTAACACGTGTTGAATACTTGCGGATAAGACAACAAAATGCAGCATGCATGTTGCATGGATAAAATTCAGTTCTAACCCGAGATTCTGCATCATAATGTGACCATTCAATACACGTGTTTTTCTTGAGTTTATTTTCTGGTCTTTCATCTTTTCTGATTTCGTTGTACCAGTATTTTAGACATTAGTATTGCATTAGCATACTCATATTATATGTACAAGTCAAGTACTGAAATACCTACAGCTATTAGGCATCATAAGAGACAACTACAATATAGAACATACATGTTATGACACATGCATCTACTTGAACATACCATGACCATTTCCCCTCCACAAGCCTCTCTTTTATCTGGACCACAGTATGCTCGTGTCTGGCTCTTTTATCACCACTCAGTGTTTTTGATGTACTAGTACACACCTGAATATATATGTTTGATATACAATTTATTGAAAAATGTATTTAAAATAATGTGCTAGATTCTTTTATTAGTCCCCATCTTATAATTAAAATGGTATTAAAACTAAAGAATACTTTAAAAAAATCGCATTATACTTCCTCCTAATTTGCACCGAATTATTAAACAAAGTCTTCTCAAGTCTTTTCATAATCAGTGCTTTGATTTGTCACTGGTGCATCAAACAGATCATAAATTTCACACTTGATTGTTACAATCTCACTAAGTGCTTATGTGCAGTTGGTGTGATAGTGCAACTAACATTAAGAATGACATCAAAGAATACTTTCAAGAACTTAATAAAAGCCTCAGCCCTATACGAGTCTTCTTCAGTTGGTGGCCTAACTTTCTATTTCCCTCTGTTTTTTCTTTTCCTTTGCTTACCCTCTGCCCCCTCGGTACCAAATACTAAATCAGTCACATCATCATCTTCTTCATCTTCATCAAAGTACCCCTTATATTTGTTGTCCTCCTCTGCTAGCCTATCAAATGTCAACTTCAACTCATATGTTGTTTCCAACATTATAAAGGTAGAATTCCACATTGTTGGCACATCTAACACACAAACTTTTTTGCTATCCAACTCTTCATTTTTTACACATGCTTTAAATTCTTGAAGTCTAACAGGTGAACTTCTAACATACTTTACTGCATTCCTAATAGAAGCCACTGTTTTATCCATATAATTCAATCCAGATTTAACAATGTGATTCACCACATGAGCCAAACATCTTAGAGCATTTGCTATCAAACCAAAAAATTGTATCATGAAATTGAAAGTGCGAATATGCAGACAAATCCCTATCTTGATTGGGTTTGGATTGATATTTGAGGACTGATAAACCTCAACTCATCTGCTGTATATATCCCACCAAGATGCTTACAGTACAATAGTTTCGATTCATTTTGGTTCCAAAAGGTGTCAGCTTTCTCATTATCATACATCACATTTTACACATAACAAATGAAATACTATGAAAAGAGATTTAAATGCCCACAAGATATATCTCAACCTGCCTGTGTATTAATTAAGTTTATAATTTCTGATATTCAGAGAAGTACAGATTCCAGATTTCATTCCCTGTGAATGAATTACAATGTATATCAGTTCAAATTCAATACTTCAAGCGTTAGATCACCTGAAACTAGGACTGTAAGATAAACAGTAGATGATAATGTACGGATACGATGTGTAATGCTGAAATTTCCGGTTACAAAAGCAAATGATGTTACAGGTAATCACTCCCCTTTCTTCAAAAGAAAGACGGGAGGAATCGTAAAAGGACAAGCTTTAATCATATATCCGCTTCCTCTTCAAAAGGGTCGGCAACAATAAAATCGACCCGATGAGGAACAGTACCACCAATGTCTTCAAATCGTATAGATCTTTCACCAACTTCAGTTCTCCAAGTGCAAGCCCAGCCTAACACAAACAAAAGTAGCAAACGCAAAAGTCACATCAAGTGCGTGGATCACATAAATTTACTACACGAAGCTAGAAACAGCTTGATGAAAACAGATAAAAAAGTGATCTTACTCTAGTAGTAATATAGGAAGCTGGAATGAGGCCAACAACAGTTGCCAGAAAGAAAATATGAAATGGTATGTCCACAATTGGCGATGCCAAATTGATGAACAGTTTTGGCAGTGTCGGTGTTACTCTCAGAAAGAGCATGCAATTCAACAATTTCTCTCTCCTCTTTGCTATCTGAAAAAAAAATACACTCCCATTGTTCTCCAACTCTTCAGAAAAAAAAAAAGAATAGAAAACAACAAGACGGAAAAAATGGTACCTCAGCCTGGAAAAATCTGTGTTTTTCAGGCCACAACCAGTTGACAATAGGTATGCCAATGAGTTTGGACAGAAAATAGCAGCAAGATGCCCCAGCAGTTGCATTGAAGACAACAAAGAAAAGACCTCTTACGACACCAAAAAGTGCTCCAGCGAATAAGGACATGAAAATAGTGTCGGGGATCATGAATGTCTGCATGAATATGTAAGTCGAGCAGTAACCAAGAATGAACTTAGCCGGGTACACTTGGTGTAACGCCCCACTTTTATTTGCCAAAAAACAGAATAAAATTTTTCAAATTTATTTCGAAACAACTAAGGCGCTACCCCTTTTTAAATCGAACTTCAATATTTAACCATTTTTTTTTAATACTCGATCATTCATCAGACTCAATCATCAATCGTCAACAATAATACTAACTCCAAAAAAAACGAGTTTTCTAAAATTTCAGAAATCATCACCCAAACCGGGTTCCAACAATATCCACAAATTTTAAGGAGCATCTCCTTAACATTATTCAAGTCATAAAATCCAATATTCATAAATGTAATAATACTCCAAATTCATAGTCATAAAATCCAGAATTCATAAATGCGGAAGCTTAACAAATAATAAGACCGGTCATATAGACCGACCACCACTCGCTCTACTCCGCCATCGTGCCTGCCTCGTTTAAACTGAAACGTGAATTTCAGGTGGGGATGAGCACAATAGGAAAGAGTAGTGCTCACCACTATGCATTAAACGTTATTCATACTAATGAAACAATAACCAATAATCAGTAAGGTATGGTCGCAGCATGTATAAGAATCAATTCAATATCCCAATCTCCTGTCATCATAATATCGTCATAAGATCAAGACTCATGTGCACACCTACGCATAGACTACTGCGGGGTAAAATACCGAATGCCCCTCGGGCTTCTATCGGTGCCCAAGCCAGTAGGAGTAAATTCTCAAAGGAGATTACCCAACGGGTACGTTCTATAGCTACGGGGATAACCGTTCGATGGCCGGTACAGCTCACATCGAAGGCTACATGGTTCACATGCATACTTTGATCATACCAAAACTAATAAACATTCATTTATAACATTTACAGCATAGGATGTTTTAAATAAAAACCACAAATTATACGTTTATAACATTTACAGCATAGCTAATTTTAGAATAACAACCCACCTGGATATAGCAAGAGGTATAGCCAAACACAGAGTTGAAGGAATTTTTGGCACAAGTTCAGCTCGAAGGACCTACAACAATTTATAAGGACCTATCACTGACTGCCCAGAACAAAACAACACATAAGATACATATACTTAGCCGAAATCATATCGACTAAGTGACTCGTGGATTCTTTAACCGAGTTAAGTACTTTGGAGTGACTACTAGACCTGGACACAAGTCATATACCACAAATAATCCACATAAGACATGCCAACATTAAATTGATCCTATCCGAACTTAATCAACCGATAACCGAACATTTAAACTCCAAAATAAGCAAAATTCAGAATCAGGAGTTAGGTCAGCCATTCAACCTGAAACCTTGCCACATTATAAAACATGCAAAAATACATAGACTCACCAAGTTTCAGCCCTAAACATCCGGGAACATTTTTAAATAATTTAAGCAAAAACAGCGCCAAAATCAGCGTTCAATAATCCGCATAGCTAAACTTCAAATTTTCATCTGAAATTTTAACACCACCTAAAACATCATAGAATAATATGTTCCTGAAAGTTTCAGATCAAAAAACCAAGTTTACGATTTTTAATAATTTTTATAAGTTTCTGCACAGAAACCGTTTTAGACATTTGAACTCGAAAAACTCAAAAATAAATTCAGAGGCTTGGCACACGAATTCCACATATTCAGAGGCACAACATATCAAAAATTCAGCTCAAACAGATAACGACTCGATTTATGGTGAATTTATTACGATTCAACAGCATGCTCGATTTAGAAAAATCATAACTCTCAAAATACAACTCGAAATGACTTCAAACCAAAACTAACAGATCAAGGACGACTCCAAGTACTTATAACTCCAGAATTTTCACGAAAAATACCACAGCATAATCAACTTGACTATATTTCAAAGTGACGGCAATCACTTTGATGTCCAATTCGTAAATATATAACACAATTATCACAATTCTCATTCAATAACAACACATCATCACATACCAGCACATATGATTCGAGGTATCACGTCAAACGAACACATTCACATTATACCATTCCCGAGACGGGTCAAGCCTTATACCGTTCCTGAGAAAACAAACGTTCGAACGAAACGAGGGGTTGCCGGGCTCGAACGTAAGAGCTGCTGTGCACCCAAGGTTCGCCGGAGGAGGCGTCTCGGGGAGGATCAGTCACGACGTTGGGTTGCTGCACTCGGTAATCGCCGGAAAATGAGCCGCTGCACGTCGCCGGAAGGAGCTCGCAGCGAACGGAGGAGGATCGCCGGATTGCTGCACGGGGCTGGTCGTGCGAGGTCGTCGTCTCCGATTGGTCGCGGCGTCACTGGTAGCGATCGGAGGGAGTCGGTGCGCGTGGTGGCTGTTCGCGAACGGGAGATCGCTGGGCTTCGTCGGACTTGCAGTCGGTGGTCGGTTCGTCGGATTCGCAGCGTTCAGAGGGTGGTGACGGACGGCCGTTCGCGAGTAGGAGTCGTTGCTGGGTGCGAACAGGGAGGGTCGCCAGAAATTCGCTGCTGGGCCGCGGTGGCGTGAGGGCTGCAAGTCGCCGGCGGAAATTCGCGTAGGGGGGTCGCTGGCGAACCTGGTTCTCGGCGACAGAGATGGCGGAGGGGATGATGATGAGAGGACGATGAGGAGGGTGGTGGCGCGAGTTGCTGCTTGCCGGATTTGCTGCGACAAGTTACGGGAGGAGGGCTCACGGCAATCTGATGGAGATGGTGCGATGATGATGGCGAAATGGTGAGGGTGATCGGAGTTGGGAGGTTCAACAAAGAGGATGGTTACGGTCGATCGAGAGAAAATCTGTCTGCTTCTGCTCAAGACGTGATCGCGAGGATGAAGAAAAGAGGAGGCTGCGGTTAAGGCTCAAAAATTTGATGTGTGCGTGGGTGAAGAGAGGAGATTCATATATATATAATTAGCATTAGGTTTTTATGTCTTGCCCAATAAGACACAAACATACACATCTCACGGGCCAAAATAACGGGTTTTGGGCTGATAATAATCGGGCTCGCGGGTTTCGATTAAAATAAAACGTATCGGCTCTCGGGCCCGACTACGTAGAAATAAATCAATTTCTCGGGCTCGATAATTCAAATCACACAAATAACCAAACCGAAAATTATATATAAATATAATGCACACAATTAAATTTTAAAATAATAATAATATTAGTAGAAATACAAATACCCATTTTAAATAAAATAATAACGTTTAGACAATTATTAACAATTTGACAATTTATAATAATAGCATTTAGACAATTAATTAATATTTAAACAATTACGATAAATCATATCAGACAATTAATTATTTATAGCATTCAATAATAATAACAACAAATAAATATAAATAATAATATTGATAAATAACTCCCAAAATTCCATAATTCAAACGAGGCATTACAATCTATCCTCCTTAAAATATTTCCGTCCTCGGAAATACGAAAGAACACACATCACAGATAATGACAGACCCAAACGGGAATTTCCAATCACGAGGTCCGGCATCACTCTCCCGAACTCGATTTCGTTCCCATGAGTCCTACCGCCTTATACTCGAAAGGCATATACTCACATTCAGGAACCAATCCGACTCGCCCTGTGCTCATATGTTTACCTTCTTGCTTGGGAGGGTGATCAGTCCTGCCCGAGCTCAGGCGTACATCTTCTTGCAAGGGACCCAATTCGGTTTAGCCTGTACTCATGAGTATCAACGACTTGCTTCGTACCTAACAACACACAAGACCTCGACAGGCCGTTCGGTGTATTGTCAACGTACTCCGATTACCTCATCATCAAGGTGGTCACGTGACGCCAAGTTTCAGTCTCGTGTCCGAGTCACACTGACAACTTGTTCACGATTCCATCACAGACCGGTGATGGCGGCTGCAGTTCGCATGCGAGTCAACGGTCGGCCGCGCGCAAGCCTTTTGTTTCTCAGCACGATCGTGCGTGCTCGGCCACCACTTTGCATGGTTACACTGAGCCAGGGTCGGGGTTTGGTCCAGGTTTCCAAAAGAACAAGATTTAGAATAAGGACGGGTCTGCACTGCGCGATGTGCTTGCTTCTGACTTGACTATCCTCCTTAAAAGATTTCTGCATAATCTTTTAAGGTGGAAAAATACTCCATCTTCTTATCGAACTGAATTGTGCTGGCTTCAGCTCTTGTGCGTTTGTCTCGATGCCGAGCGCGAACAATTATTTTCCCCCTCGAGGTTAGGTTATTTACAAAAGTGGCGATAGAAAAATTTTGCCTTCGAGTCTCCGTGATATTTTAGCGATGACATTCGAACGAAACTTTCATACTTCGCAAGAGAATAAAGATAAGAAGAAACAAAGAGATGCTTAATCTCACTTGAAACCAGGTTTCCAAAACCAAGTCAGTTCCCAACCTAGGATAAACCAGAATTAGCTAAACTTCAAGAGAAGCGAGTTTTAAAGTTGAGAAGTTTAAAATAGTTTACACAACGAATTAAAAGTAGGGGGAGATCAAGCGAAATCCTCAAATTACGAAATTTTGGTTAACAAAAAGAAGCCTCAATCACACTTCAAAATTGTTGCCGTGTGGATGGGAAAAAGGTTTGCAAGAGTATACAAGAAGACAAGAATTTAAGAAAGGCAGCACGACGGCTTTGTCTTCACGAGTCCACGATTCACTGTTTTCATCATCGGTTCAAGCTGCTCCCTTCGTTTAAGCCTTCTCCTTTCGAGATGGCTCGCGAATGGTCCTCATCCAAAGACACCAAAAATACATCGAGAGGACTGTTATACACAGAACTCAGCTCGACAACATAATATCGAATTTCTAAACAAACAAAACCTCAAGTTAAAACTTAACTCTATAACGCTAGAGTTCAAGTTCATACTGCTAAGGTTCGCCACTCATCTAAAGTTCCAGAATGTTTAAAACTAGGAGGATAAATTCCTAAGCCCCTATTTACATATCATATCATTTCATTTCAATAATCAGGCAATCATAATCCATTCACACTCATTCATTAATCTCATACCTGAGCTGGCAAGGCACGACGGAAGCGAGTGGTCATACACTACATCATAGTATGCCAGTATTTCATAGAGTTCACGTTATTCACACATACCAGTCTACAGAAACGCAGACTGCCTCTGATACCAAACTGTAACGCCCCACTTTTATTTGCCGAAAAACAGAATAAAAAATTTCAAATTTATTTCGAAACAACTGAGGCGCTACCCCTTTTTAAATCGAACTTCAATACTTAACCATTTTTTTTTTCAATACTCGATCATTCATCAGACTCAATCATCAATCGTCAACAATAATACTAACTCCAAAAAAAACGAGTTTTCTAAAATTTCATAAATCATCACCCAAACCGGGTTCCAACAATATCCACAAATTTTAAGGAGCATCTCCTTAACATTATTCAAGTCATAAAATCCAATATTCATAAATGCAATAATACTCCAAATTCATAGTCATAAAATCCAGAATTCATAAATGCGGAAGCTTAACAAATAATAAGACCGGTCATATAGACCGACCACCACTCGCTCTACTCCGCCATCGTGCCTGCCTCGTTTAACCTGAAACGTGAATTTCAGGTGGGGATGAGCACAATAGGAAAGAGTAGTGCTCACCACTATGCATTAAACGTTATTCATACTAATGAAACAATAACCAATAATCAGTAAGGTATGGTCGCAGCATGTATAAGAATCAATTCAATATCCCAATCTCCTGTCATCATAATATCGTCATAAAATCAAGAATCATGTGCACACCTACGCATAGACTACTGCGGGGTAAAATACCGAATGCCCCTCGGGCTTCTATCGGTGTCCAAGCCAGTAGGAGTAAATTCTCAAAGGAGATTACCCAACGGGTACGTTCTATAGCTACGGGGATAACCGTTCGACGGCCGGTACAGCTCACATCGAAGGCTACATGGTTCACATGCATACTTTGATCATACCACAAATAATAAACATTCATTTATAACATTTACAGCATAGCAAATTTTAAATAAAACCCACGAATTATACGTTTATAACATTTACAGCATAGCCAATTTTAGAATAACAACCCACCTGGATATAGCAAGAGGTATAGCCAAACACAGAGTTGAAGGAATTTTCGGCACAAGTTCAGCTCGAAGGACCTACAACAATTTATAAGGACCTATCACTGACTGCCCAGAACAAAACAACACATAAGATACATATACTTAGCCGAAATCATATCGACTACGTGACTCGTGGATTCTTTAACTGGGTTAAGTACTTTGGAGTGACTACTAGACCTGGACACAAGTCATATACCACAAATAATCCACATAAGACATGCCAACATTAAATTGATCCTATCCGAACTTAATCAACCGATAACCGAACATTTAAACTCCAAAATAAGCAAAATTCGGAATTAGGAGTTAGGCTCAGCCATTCAACCTGAAACTTTGCCACATTATAAAACATGCAAAAACACATAGACTCACCAAGTTTCAGCCCTAAATTCATCCGGGAACATTTTTAAATAATTTAAGCAAAAACAGCGCCAAAATCAGCGTTCAATAATCCGCATAGCTACACTTTGAATTTTCATCTGAAATTTTAACACGACCTAAAACATCACAGAATAATATGTTCCTGAAAGTTTCAGATCAAAAATCCAAGTGTACGATTTTTAATGATTTTTATAAGTTTCTTCTTAGAAACCGTTTTAAACATTTGAACTCGAAAAACTCAAAAATAAATTCAGGGGCTTGGCACACGCATTCCACATACTCAGAGGCACAACATATCAAAATTTCAGCTCTAACGGATAACGACTCGATTTATGGTGAATTTATTACAATTCAGCAGCATGCTCGGTTTAGAAAAATCATAACTCTCAAAATACAACTCGAAATGACTTCAAACCAAACTAACATATCAAGGACAACTACAAGTACTTATAACTCCAGGATTTCCACGAAAAATACCACAGCATAATCAACTCGACAATATTTCAAAGTGACGGCATTCACTTTGATGTCCAATTCGTAAATATATAACACAATTATCACAATTCTCATTCAATAACAACACATCATCATATACCAGCACATATGATTCGAGGTATCACGTCAAACGAACACATTCACATACTCGAGCACATAATGTCACGTAAAAACAAACGAGACGGGTCAAGCCTTATACCGTTCCCGAGAAAACAAACGTTCGAACGAAACGAGGGGTTGACGGGCTCGAACGTAAGAGCTGCTGTGCACCCAAGGTTCGCCGGAGGAGGCGTCTCGGGGAGGAGCAGTCACGACGTTGGGTTGCTGCACTCGGTAATCGCCGGAAAATGAGCCGCTGCACGTCGCCGGAAGGAGCTCGCAGCGAACGGAGGAGGATCGCCGGATTGCTGCACGGGGCTGGTCGTGCGAGGTCGTCGTCTCCGATTGGTCGCGGCATCGCTGGTAGCGATTGGAGGGAGTCCGTGCGCATGGTGGCTGTTCGCGAACGGGAGATCGCTGGGCTTCGTCGGACTTGGAGTCGGTGGTCGGTTCATTGGATTCGCAGCGTTCAGAGGGTGGTGACGGACGGCCGTTCGCGAGTAGAAGTCGTGAGGGCTGTTGCTGCAAGTCGCCGGCGGAAATTCGCGTAGGGGGGTCGCTGGCGAACCTGGTTCTCGGCGACAGAGATGGCAGAGGGGATGATGATGAGAGGACGATGAGGAGGGTGGTGGCGCGAGTTGCTGCTCGCCGGATTTGCTGCGACAGGTTACGGGAGGAGGGCTCACGGCAATCTGATGGAGATGGTGCGATGATGATGGCAAAATGGTGAGGGTGATCGGAGATGGGAGGTTCAACAAAGAGGATGGTTACGGTCGATCGAGAGAAAATCTCTCTGCTTCTTCTCAAGACGTGATCGCGGGGATGAAGAAAAAGCGGAGGCTGCGGTTAAGGCTCAAAAATTTGATGTGTGCGTGGGTGAAGAGAGGAGATTCATATATATATAATTAGCTTTAGGTTTTTATGTCTTGCCCAATAAGACACAAACACACACATCTCACGGGCCAAAATAACGGGTTTTGGGCTGATAATAATCGGGCTCGCGGGTTTCGATTAAAATAAAACGTATCGGCTCTCGGGCCCGACTACGTAGAAATAAATCAATTTCTCGGGCTCGATAATTCAAATCACACAAATAACCAAACCGAAAATTATATATAAATATAATGCACACAATTAAATTTTAAAGTTATAATAATATTAGTAAAAATACAAATACCCATTTTAAATAAAATAATAACATTTAGACAATTAGGCAATTTCACAATTTGACAATTTATAATAATAGCATTTAGTCATTTAAACAATTAATTAATATTTAAACAATTAAGATAAATCATTTCAGACAATTAATAATTTATAGCATTCAATAATAATAACAACAAATAAATATAAATAATAATATTGATAAATAACTCCCAAAATTCTATAATTCAAACGGGGCATTACACTTGGGCATATGTAGCGAGATGATCCCTAAAGCATATTGGAAAGTGCAAACAAATTAAATCTGCAAAGGGGAATAAAGAAGAGAGAATGGAGTACTTAAGCTTCAACCAGACGTGATTTATTCCATGCATTCCAAATCAGTTTAATGAACCTTTATCCAATTATTATATCATATCTTATGCTGCTTAACTTACACTCCATCCACCCTAATACAAAGCTTCAATTTCCAAAAAACAATAAAATGTTTGAAAGCGGCCCCGAAGAACAGTACAGGGTCGGTTCAACTTATACCATTCATCCATACATTAGACGATTGAGACATTCATAACATAGGGTTCATAAAACATGTCTGTAGTTTGCTCCCAAACAGAACATAAAGCTGAAAACTTGCATCAATTAGTGTAACTACCTAGCTTATAAATCTAACAGCATAAAAGTATCAATCGAAGATTCTTCTTAAGACAACCTGAAAGCCCAAAATATGATAAAAACTTGCTATCGAGCATTAGAAAAATGCAATACACAACTCCATGACGAAGACATCAGGCAGGAGCCTAAAAAACATATTAAACATCTAACCAAATGCACATTGGATGACTATATAATACTTCATGCCTTCAACTATTACATATACAAATGAAGCCACACGAGATTGCGGTAAACACTAGCTATATAAATAGAGTTCCAAGAAAGACCAAAAATTCATTATTCAAAAAACAAAAATACAGATTTTAAGATCCCAAAATCTGAAAACAAAATAAGAATGGCCGAAAGAATTGAGAGTGGTTACTTGAGCAATCGAAGATCCGCGAGGTTACGAGGCAGCTTCAACATCTCATACTCGGCGGCGGGCATAGTGAGTTAAATGCACAACAAACCGGTGGAGAATACCAAATGCACCCCGAGAGTCGCCGCAAATTCCCACCGAGAGAGCGGGAACTTCTCCGCCTTCAGCTTCTTCCCCGACGGCGACTCATCGTTCTTCTCCTCATCCCTGTCCAACAGCCGGCTACCGGTTTCCACCACCACATTCTGCGGTGCCGCCATGGCATTTGGGTGGTGAAAATGACAGCTTGCCGATTCGCAGGGCGCTGTTGGATGGGAAGCACTGAAATTTTCGATCTCAATTGCTACTAAACAAGCTAAAACGAAAATGAGGTTCGGCCGATCGCCTCGGGCATAGGAATACTATAGAATTTAAAGCAATGACGATGAGGAGCATTAAATGCGCGAAAAAATAAAATTTTAAGAAACTAAATCCAGAGGTGAAGCTATCGAAAACAGAGGAAATCTCCAAGCTATGCGATATGGAAATGGGGTTTGAAATTGATCGGCGATTGATTGAATTAGGTGAAAGCAAGCGAAAATGGGTCGATGAAGAAATTTTGGGGTCGACGAAGAATTAAAACCCTAGAAATAGGAGACGAGCTGTGACCTTGGAAAATCTTCTCTGTGAGAGAGGCACAGACACAAAAGTCAAAAAGTGAGGATTGAAATATTTCGTGCTCTTTCCTTGTAGCTTTTACTGTCATCCATGTTACTACTAGACATGGCCACGGTCACCTATGACCTAGCCCACCGACCCGACCCAGAACCGGCATGAATCCCACCTGGTCAGACCCGTGGTCAACGGGTCTGGTCCGTGCTCGGATTTAAATTGGGCCGGTTCAAGGTTGGGTATTTGTAACATTTTACTTGTCGGGTCGCGTCGGGTTAGGTCGGCCAACGAAATCAACTGCCGATTTTTATTCAAATTGTTTTTATGACAGGTCCCGAATCCAGGTCGTGTAGTACAAGTCGGTTCAAGGTCGGCCATATTATTTTTTTTCTTGAGAACATTTTAGTTTTTTGATGTGCAAATTCTCTTGAACCGGGTTGAACAAGCAATCTTCATGTACTACTACCTAGGGCTGGTAATTTTGTACCGAAAACCGAAAACCGAACCGACAAGAAAAAAAAACCGAACCAAACCAAACCGCTTGTAACGGTAACCGAAAATTGGTTACCGAAATGTTATCGGTTCCGAAACCTTAAAGATTCGGTAAAACCGAACCGAACCGCTAAGGATAAAAAAAATTAAAAAATAAAAAACTAAGTAGACTTATAGATATAGTTACAGATTACTTGTTTAGAAATTAGTACTTTAATCTAGTATTTAATATTTTATTAGAGTATTCGTTAATAGTGATTACATTAGGCTCAATTTTTTTTTAATTTAATTCATTTATTTTTTTTAAAATTATGTGAATTATAAACGGCCTACTTGCTATGTAAGATCAAAAAGACTGAAGTGGTTGAAGATAGAATACAATTATCAACCTACTTGCTATGGTGGCTATGGAGGTCCAGAAACATATGGGTGTTCCAACATTCCCTCATGCCAGAGCACATTGTCATTAGAGCTGTAACACCCCGCTCATCAGAGTAAATTTTTCGCAACTTTTACTTTGAAAATACTTTAACTCTTTCGAAATATTTTGCGACTAACTCGGGATGCTACTCAAACTCATCATCTTGAAAATCCGTTTACCTTTAAACTTTTGTCTAATACTTCTTTAGACATAATTAAAACAGATTTCCTTTAAACTTGCATTTAACTGTACCATATTCATACTTCTCGAAATGGTAAAAACTTGAAATTTGAAATTTATGCAAGTTCAATACTTAATGTGCATAGCGGAAATACTTAAAACGTGGTTTATTATACAGACATATCAAATAGTTTATAAATATCCACTTGAAATAAGTGCACGACCACCACCACCACTGTTCAGCTCACACCTCCGTCCCGACCCTGTTACCTGAAAAACACAATGGGGGTGAGTACTGATCCTCTTGTACCCCGAAAAACACCCATACTAAAGTAAACACCAATAATAATACAATATCATGATCTTTGGTATATATCTGGACTGGAAATCTGTTCCAGTAACTTAAACTGAATCTGGCCGATATCTAATCGGATACTTGTGCACAATCTGATGGATATTTCTAAGGCAACTAATGGCCTCCATCAGAACTTAGGATGTACTGATAAGGCAACTAGGAGCCTTCATCCCAAGCGTTTAAACTTAAACTGTATACATACCTCGAACATGATATCAATATTATACTCAATGTAATACCCACTCTGGGTCCCCACCTTTCTTTTTTTGAAAACATTTGAAAAACGATAAGTGTTGTACTGGTACTGTATCTGCAAGTTACATCAAATACAAACAAATATACTAAGTACTATGCTCGTATACTCATTAAACTTGCTTTTTCTCAAGTTTATACTTAACTTCTCTTTTTAATTTTACTTAAGGTCAATTACTTAACCTTATATAAATCATGTCTTCATAAACATCAATATGGTATTATACTTAGCATGTCATAACTCAAATGTGAAAATAACTATATTTCACATTATACTTGATTGAGTATTTAAACTTAAAACATGCTTACTTTTACCAACATCTTCAATATGATTTATAACTTATCTTAATTTAACTTAATCCAATACTTAATTCATCATACATCATATCTCCCAATTTTTAGATATTGGCTTATACTAAATTTTCACTTAATTAACTTGAAAGTGAAAATAATCTCAAGGCATAATCATCTTTTACTCATAACATTAAATCATGATGTTAATATGTTATACTTAATACAATCTTTATAAAATTGTATACTCAACATATTATACCAAAACATCATCAAATTACTCATAACTTATATGAGAATTATTCATTGATCATCTCATTTTAACAACTTAAACATTTCATGAATATTCTTGCATATATACTTATCTTTACATATATGCTTTCTTATATTCATAACTTATTCATTTCTCATCTTTAAATTATGAAACTTAACAGTCATAATCTCAACTTATAATTAGACATGTCATCAAAATTTCAAAATTTTATCATGCATATATCTCGACTTATTCAAGTTTAAAGTTGCTGCTGGAAACAAGTACATAAAATTCAGCTTGCATGATAAACTTTAAAAATTCATATCTTGAGTTATACTAAACTAAATGACTTGATTCTTGATCCTATGTACTCCTTTTTTACACAAGAAATAACCATAGGAAGCATAGATTTCCAGATTGTTCATAGCTAGGTAAAAATCTCATCATAACTGAACACATATGACATATATATAAGCTGGAAATAACTTATTTTCTAGCATACTTATATTCATATAAAATTTTAATATGTAAGTCATATAAAAACATTATTAAACACTTAATATCATCTACTATACATGTAAACTCATTATCAAAACATGAACATAAGCATGTAACTTTAAGATAAATAAATTACCTCATTCTTGCTAGAATCGTAACTTAATTCTTCACTTCTAAATTCTTCACTTCTTCACAATTTCTATTACTTATCTCTCTTACACTCATATATATATCTTTTGGTACTTTTCTTTGGTGTGAGAACTCTGATTTTTAGGCCTCTATTTATAGGCGCAATTTGGCAAGACATCATAATGGAGTGAAGAAATGAACAAAATAAACAATTTAAACTTATAAACTTAATTAATCATAAACTATTTTATGATTAACTTGTATTCTTATCCAAACATAATTAATCATAAAAAATGGCCTTTAGTTATAGCCATGAGTGAGCTTTTTGGTAGATAAAACTTATTCCACCAAGTTTAATAAAATTCTCATCAATTGTTGAAAAAAAAATGCTAACTTAAAGACTTAGCAAAACTTTGTTGTGATTTTCTCATCTCATTCTCACCAATTGATGACCAAAATTTCGTGCTTAACGTGATGGAATTGATTCCATATATTATTGTAAAAATGTCCCCATTCATCATATAAAAATCTTTAGGAAAAAAATAATAAAAATAATAAAAATCATCCTTTTTATTACTTATGCATTTTATTTAAAAATGGCTGACTTTTAAAACTCTTTTACTGAAAAGTAATGCTCATATATGGTCTTGGATCATGCTAATAAACCGAGAATAATACAATTTACGGAACTCAATTCGGACTTAAAACGAACGTTTACCGTAAAACTAAAAATTCTAAAATTTAAATTCTTTACTCACATTTTTTTTTTCTTCAATTTAATGAACATATTGCTTCTTAGGATCTAATATAATTATCTTGAAATATTCTACATTTACGGAACCACATTCGGACTTAAACCGAACGATTACCGTAAAACCGAAAATTATAAAAATTTCGATTTCTATTAAAATAATTTAAATAGACTATAATGTCTAAATAAATTTTCTCACTTCTTTGAACATTTATCACTTAAATGTTCATGGATACTTAACCTTAGTTCAAGACTTAACTTGTATCAACTTATGCTAAAACTCAATATTATGATCTTATCTTGATGGCTTAAACACTTAGAAAAATTCTAAGTATTTAGTACTAAGGCTCAGCTATTTCTTAATTAAGTTCAACTCATGACCGAACATACTTGGTTTCAGTTCACTACTTATCTTAAACGATTAATCAAAATATACTCAATTTCGATTATTCGTCATCTTATATTAATTAGTCCCGTCTTATAAATCCATTTATAAAAATAAACAGACCGGAATTAATTAATTTCTGAACTGGCTCGATTACTGAATAATATTAAACCGAGAATACTTTCGACTTAAAGTCGAATTTTTAACTGAATAACTTAATAACTGGCTCGAAACTAGGAACGAGCATTAATAAAAGTAATTAGTTCATACTTAGAATAATTACTTTTATTAATTACTGAATGGGATATTACAATCTACCCCCCCTTAAAACTATTTCCGCCCTCGGAAATACTGAAACTGAGGTATATACCAACTATGTATATATATCATAACTCAAAATCTGGAAAAACGAGTGCTAATATCAACTTCTCACTCCCCAGTGACATCCAACTCTATATGTGGCAATTCCATTTTATACTAACGAGGGAATATCTCAATTCCTCAGCCAATGAACCTTCTGGTCCAAAACTTCTATCGGCTGGTCCTCGTAGGTTAAATCTTACTGAAACTCATTGTGCAAAAGCACATACTCTGGATCGCACATATACTCACGTAACATTGTTACGTAAAACTTTATGCACACTGGACAACTTTAGAGAAGAATTGATATAAAATACTTATCTGACTGCCTATGCGATACATTGTATGCGATTTACCCACTACCCGGGGCCCTTCGGGTGCGGAACATCTATATGCATTGTACCTTAATGTCAATGTCACTTGTAATCATTAACAAGTCGCATCTCCATTCTATACTAACATCTTACTATACTAAACTTGCTTCTCTTTTCGAGAAACCTTTTTACTCAATATCACTATTGATATTTTCTTAATTCAACTTCTCCGACTTAACTATAATCGAGAATTTCATTGAAATTTCTGTACTGATGTGGAATAACTTGACCATTCTCTGGTCATACCACAATTCCAACCACTAAGGTAAACTTTATTTACCTTTAATGATTCAACTATCATA